CACTGAATACTCTATTTCATTGGTGTCACCACATTGTCACTGCATGCAAGACTCCCCCCCCCCCCCCCTTCGAAAAAAAGATGCACATACACACACGCGCGCGCGCGCACACATCTCATGCTATGACACCTAATGACAATTGTAAGAGGAGTATGCTTTTTGAGGCAAAACCACTCCAATATTATATATCCTTTCTTCAACTAGGGACCTATATACTAACCTGCAATAAAAATGGGACGAAACTTCTGGAGTGAATCCACACAGTCGGGACGAATCCACCCATTACCGATCAAGGTCTCCATTACGCTTTATATTCGTAGTAAAAAATATACGTTCTGCAAATGCATTGTTGCAACAGAGATGCAGGAACTCGGAAAGAAGAGTGGAAGGCTGATCTTTGTTTGAAAGGATTAATTCACGTACATTTAAATCAATTTAGTCTCGTTTATATTCATTTTATTGAGATATTGGTTTAATATGCTTGAATTAGTCCATAATCACCTCAACGCAAATCTAAGCGCGTGAGTAATGGTAAAGCAATTAATCAACAGGTAGAGTCTAGAGATAGCAACACAGGTGTAAATAAAAAAAAAGAAGAAGTGCATTTTGTTTTTCAGTATGATCGTGTGTTGGACAGAAACAAGTGTTAAGAATTCTATGACAAATATAAGTCAGACAGTAACGCAATAAGTACACGATTGTATTTAAATCATAAAATAGGCCTATAGGCTTGCATTTTGATAACAACTAGGCCTATAAACAAGTTTTACAACTGTGAATTTGACACCACTGTAATTTAAAGACATAATAAGAATTTAACAAAACATTGCCAAAATCATGAAGTTGATATCAAAATCTTGGATTCATTAAAATACTCATGTTAGTAGTAGTCATTTTAAACAAAATCATGGTAATAAATAATTCATAGAAGTGAAAGAAAAACATTGTAAAAAATTCTTGAGTATTTTTTGGTATTAGACCTGTACAAAGGTGTAAAAAAAAAAAAAAAAAAAAAAAAAAAAAGACAGCTTTACTTTGCCATTTTGACTATCCAATGCTAATTACTAATTAATTGAAGACAATTTCTATGTTATATCTAAATTAATTTCCATGGGATAAAAATATTCTATAAAGTATTAGATATGGGACTTTTATTCCTGTATATGTGAAAAATGGAATATTTTCTCCTAATTCTTCTTATATGGGACAAAATATCCCATATCAGTTCAAAAATGGGACTAAAAATTCTGTGGGAGAGAAAATTCTATGGGATTTTATATATCCTATAGGATTATGGTGGGATATCAAGTAGGATAAGAAATCCCACCAAAATCCTATGGGATTTTTGTTTTTCAGGTGTTATATCTCCCACAATATACAAAATACAGGTGTCATAATTGGTAAATATAATGAGAGTACAAAATCCCACCGTACAATATTAAAAGTTATATAATATCTTTAAAAAAGTGGTTGGCGAAAGTCCGGACAAATGTCGTGTCCGGAGTTAAATGTCGCACTGTTATACACATATATAAACATACATGAAACGAAATAATATTGTACGTCGCGAGAGATAGAGAGAAAGAGAGAGGGAAAGAGAGAGAGAGAGAATTCTTCATTGACATTTCTCTACCGATATTTTTGATTCTAACAGTGATATAGGATATTATTCGCTGTTCATATCAGAGTATCAATATCCTATACTGTATTTTTTTAAGGTCTTTTTGTCTGTCGACACCAATGTATTGACACCTGATTTTTTTTTTTTTAGTTATAGATATTTGTTTGCAAAATTGGAGAGGATTTTGAGTAAAATAACAGCAAATTTAGTTCATGATAAATGGCTAAAAAAGGAAAATAAACAAGTATACTTATGTGTAATACATAAAGAACTATTCACTTAAAAAAAATCTTTTAGAAATACATGAAATTACAAAATAAAACAATAGAAAACCCGTAAAATCTGAAAATGAAACCTATCTTTTTTTCTGTTTTATGTATAAACAATTAATTTAATTATGAAAATAAATTAGTGAGGAAATTTTACTATATCTAATTTGCAAGGATAACTGGCCATCAAGTTCTTGCTACTGTTAAAAGAAAGGTCTTCGCGGCATACTGAGTGCAATTACATGTATAGAACAGAACAGAACAGAACAGAACATTTATTTTCTAATTTAGAGCCCATAACAGACAAGTATGAAATTATTACAATAATAAAGAAAAGATATGGCCAATGGATAGTATAGCAATTTGTAAATGACATTGCTCATTTCAACAATAATATTGTACTATTTCAGTGAAAGGGAATACTATATATAAAAGTGTATGGATACTACAACATGTTATCATTTATGAATTTGCCCACAGAATTAAGAGTTTCTTTGTCTTCAGTACTGAGTAACCATATATATGGTATTGTATATGAAATATAAATATTTCTTGATAATGCAATTTTCCTGTAAATTTCAGTAGCTCTATATAGTCCTGGCTGTCGCATTACAAATTATAATAAAAAAAAAAAACACTGTGAAATGAAATATTAACACTCATGTGAAAAAGTGAAAAAATGAAAATAGAAGCAGTGCTTTCAATCCGTCAAACTTGGTACTTATTGGGTATGGGAATTCGGTTGCGTTATGCAGCGATGTCGTAAACAAACTTTAACATTGTGTAGATTGGGGAGACTTCGTGTGGGGCTAACGATCGAGGCCGTCCCGGAATCGACGCCTGTCATCCTGCTCTTTATTTCCATTGATAAGTTAAAGCCAGTGATTAATTAGAAAAATTGAAGGACCCCCCCCCCCCCCCTCCACCCCAGGCACACACACACAAAAGCAAATTATTTCAAAATCAAATATCAACAGAAAGGCAATGCTTCATAAGGTCTAAATAATAGTAAAGTTAGATCCCGTTTAATTCCATATTCACGATTCTCGAAACTTGCATAACCTTTAGGTTAACTGTCTGCCTAGCATGCAATGCATGTATAAATGCAAATTTCTCTCTTATCATATCAATGTCTTAGATATGGAGTGCATTTATTTCTGAATTATTAATCACATAAAAACAGACTCATATACTCATTTTCTCCCAAAATAAACAATTAATTAATTACAGTAGTTATACATTTTCTACTTACAGCATTCGTTCATCTAATTATGGCGATCAACTTATGTACAGCAAGCTTAGTAAAGTATAATTCGTGCGATTTTTGTCTAGTTACAGATATATTGAATAACGATACAAAATAACTGAGTTCACCACACATATCAACCATTTCCTGTCTTTTTCAACAGTGTAACATTCATTGACCTACAAACTAAATAATCTGGGTCATTATAGACGAGGGCAAACCTAACCTTATATAAATGGGATGGAAGAATTTCAGTATTTCTATAAGTTAATGTCTGATTTAACTGGAATATATACCGTCTTTTGTTTTTCTGCAGATTCGAGATATCTCTTCGCCTTGTTTTTGAATTTATGCGCAGCGGCGGAAGAATTTATCGTGACGCGGCTCAATTCTGAGCCCCCACTTTTTATACGTGGTTTACGTCTTTTAATCTGATTTTTTGGTCATCCTGCACTTTTTTTAAAAAATGTTTCTACAGAAATTAACAAAGCCTCAACGCCCTCTATGTACTTTTTCACGACTTCAGTCCAATACACATCAAAGAGTAATATTTATATAATTTGTAATAAAACTTATTAATAAATACATCTTTGACAATACACATCTAAAAAAAAAAAAAAAAAAGTGGCTATCTTAGAAGTAAAACGAAAATTTTTATCTTTCCACGGAAAAATTATCATGCATTACACATTTTGATAATATATCTTAAAAGAGGTATATACATTTACTGTAATCATTGATAAAATAGCTCTGAAATAAATATCTCTCAATTTATTACTTAAAGAGATCACACACCAACACAAAAGATAGCACACAAAAGGCGTCCTAAAGGTCATTAAATCATATGTGATAAAAAATGTAAACACAATCTCCTGAATTTTTTTCTGGAATTGTTGACGTTTCTTTTTTTTATTTTTATTCATTTTATAATTCAGTTTCTGAGGTTATTTTTTTGGCAATTTTACACATAATATATTTCTTTCGGATTCTACATGCATAATATTCTTCAGAACAATTTTTTTTTTTAAAAAAATCAAAATAAATTCTCTTGATTAAAAACAAGGATTTTTCCTTCACTTTTACTCTTTTTCTACTTTCCTAGAGATTGCTAATTTTGACAGAGATTCATTTTCAGACTTGTGTCATTTACATTCGCACCGTTTTGACGCGTGATTGATGAATGTATACACAGACCTCTATTGTAAGGGGCGAAAGTCTGTTCAGCGCCACCGCGGGGGGTCATCCCCCTATCGCCAAAACACCTGCTCCTTCTGAACTCTGACCCTAGTCTGCAACTCACGATAAAATCCACACGCACTCGTCCATCAATATTAGAAGCCCTCTAATGATTTGCAAACATCAATTCATATAAATCTATGCATTTTTCCTTTTAGGCCAACCTTTTAATTTTTAATAAGCTGCTGTCTTTCATTTGGTAATTAAAACAATCTTTAAAAAAATACTGCAACTATAGGGAACGCACTATTTCTACTGTATAATATTCTGACGAAATTGTTAAACGTAGACAAAATAGTAATCCGCCATCCGCCCTCATGAACTCTACAACAATACATGCACGCAGTGCTGAGGGGAATATGTCTAATTTCCAGTAATCCTTGATCAATACTGATTAAGACGCTTTGAAACAACCGGTTCAATCGCCTGTCACACCGCTAGATTTTATCGCAACAAAGGAAATGGGATAAATATCGCGTATTGACCGTCGCCATTTTGTTTGGTATTTTTAGATCGTGCGTGGGGTCACTGTTTTAATTCTGGCCAAATATCTCGACCGTCTTCCAGTATATAGACTTCTGTTTACGAACTTAAGATCTCCGATAGATTGTGATTGAAACTGACGTACCTCTTATGTCCAATTTTAGGTGAAATCTTCTATATTTCTTGTTGAAATAGCCCAGCAAATTTCTACATAATTTCCTAGCGTTCCTAGCTTTCATCACGTGACCTGTCAATCGTTTCAAAAGCCGATCTCCATTGTTTGATAAAAATAGACACACAGTCCACCTAACCAATCAGAATGTAGCTTCAGTTTTCTTTAGAAAAAGAGAACATCTGCCGTAAGATGTGATTTTTAAGACCATTTATTTGTCTAAAAAACGAGACTGTGGTCATTATGCTTGAATATTATTGGTACTTAATTTTTTTTCTGAACGCAGTTCAATAGTATCTGTGTCTTAGATCACAAAAATTTAAAGAAAGTTAACAAAACTTAAAGTTTATGAATTATGAAATTATGAATTAACAAGCTATTTCTTTACATTTGTTAATTGAACGAACTGGATATACCATATTTTTACGGTTTCAAAATTATTTCTTGCTATATCAGCAAAAGTTAAACGTATCTAAAAGAGTGTCGTTATCTTTAATACTGAATAATGTTTATTTTTTAAAATTTAAGATTTACCATCGCGCATTTAACATTAATTAAATATTTGTGATTGAAAATATTTTTCTTTTTGTAAATATGTATTTATTTGCGCTCTTTTTCTATACATTAAAAAAAAAAGATTATATATATATATATATATATATATATATATATATATATATATATATATATATATATATATATATATATATATATATATATATATATATACATGTATATATATAGAGCACTAAAAATGACCAACGACACGAACAATAAAAATTAATTGTCAAATTTTCGGGACGACCTGTCCCTTCCTCAGGACAAAGAAAAAAAAAGTTAAGAAGTCATAAAAACAAAGGAAATAGAGAAACAAAAACAACTAGCACTACTACTAAACTACTAAACACTAAATATTTACAGTGTTACATATTTAATTTGAAGTTTATAGACAGTTGTGAACAAACAAATCCGGAGCGCTATGAATTGCGTCCGTTCTATCGGGTGTACTCTGGTGAGCAGTTATATATATATAATACAGTTTAATTTTTACTGGGATAAATAAAAATAATAATATAAATAATAAATAATAAATAAATAATAATATAAAACATACATGTACATTGCTAAAAGGATTTCTAAAAATTTGTAACAACTTGCCTAAATTATAAATGTACATTTGACTGTTATATGACAGGAATAGTGGTTATTATATGTTTATTTTTCAATGAAGTAATAAATGAACTAAAAGTAAAACAGATTTTTTTTTACACAAGTATATAACCTAGATACGTTGGTATGACGGTATCTAATCTGTTATTTTAAAATTGAATTTGAGATTGAGATAAGTAAATAAACTATATTGATAGAGACTAAAACTGCCAATTTCTTCCAAAATTATGTGGCTAAAATTCATGTTAAATACAATGTTTTCAATCTCACAAATGCTAAGCTATGGCGTCTCAACTGCTCAACTATGACGTCACAGCCTATGACACTGTGTTAAGAAAAGAAAGAGGCAACGGAAAAATCAAAGAAAATGTAATAAACAGAAAATTCAATGTTTTGTAGTTGGATATAGAATTTATTTCACTCGTGAGACAGGATTTTTTTTTCCACTCGTGCTTTGCACTCGTGAAAATATAAAAACAAATCCTGTCCCACTCGTGAAATAAATTCCATATCCAACTACAAAACATTGAATATCCTCTATTTATAATGTGTTGAATAAGATTTAGATGACGTCAACATTTGTGAGCATTAGATGATTTTTTAAATGTATGATATGCACTTTTAATTTGAAAAATGTCATAAAAAGCATAAAAATATTTATTGTTGTCAGTAAAACGTAATCCTAGATTATAAACGATTTTTTTTTTTAGAGATTAAGATCTTGTTATTGTTCAACTTTTGAAGAAAAATAAAAAACAAAAATAAATGTACCTTATAATTTTTATGAGACAGATACTATTTTTTTCATTCCCTTCCTTTGCACGTCTTCAATATATAGTCCTGAAAAAGATTTAACTTTTTGTTCTGGCTTCACGTTCACCTTCAATACTTCACTGACCAATGTGTGGAAAGGTAGATATTTTGTATCACAAATTGATCATCTTGTTAAAATGCATATCCCCCCCCCCCCCCATGGCTCTTAACTGGCAAATAAACATGGATTTGACCTTGAACAGGAAAAATAGGTAGGTAAGAAACAGTTTTATATAATTCAAACTTTAATATTTTAGAGTAGATACAGTTCTGATCAGAAAAAAAATAGAATTCTTTCATACTACATTTCTTACTTATTCAAAACAGATCTCTCCAAATAATTTTTATTTTATCAATTTCTCATAATCCCCCCTCCCTCCCCCGTCGCCAAGCACAAAAGATCCTCGAAACAATTGTATACTGTTTTACAGTAAATGCATGTTTCTTGCTAGATTAAAATAAAGTCTGGAAAAGTTTTAAATAAAATTCCTTATTACCATGGAAAATGAATTGCGTTTTTTGTTCACTCCATTTCTTTATTAAAACAGACCTTCAATATTTCTTCAAATTACTAACGGTATAATATTGTGTCCACGATTGACCACAATGGGTTGTTTATTAAATTCATACATGTGTATATTAAAAAATGCATGGTAAAACTTGCTAACTAATCAACAGAAGACATTCATAAAATCATAATTAAAAACGAGAAGAGAATTCAATTTCATTCAATGATGGTATTTTTTTTTTAGAAATAAAAATGCAGTTAATTGCTAAAGTATTTTGTATTTTGAATCATATATGAACGCAGTTCTACAATATCGTATGGTAATTTTGATGATGAGGAGACCTGCAATTTTAAAAAATTTCCCAAAAAATTTTCCAACCAGAAAAAAACTACATCAGCCAATAGAAAAATAATATCCGCTCAGGTAAGTCGTTTATTTGTGTGACACTCGCCTGATTGGACAATTTGTATTTTTTTCTTACGTACCAAAAAGAAATTGACAGCATGACAACGCCCAACCTGAGCCGGAAGGATCACGTGATCGAGGGTGGCAGACGACAAAATAATGTCGGTCGATATCAACTGAAATAAATCATACACAGCACGCAATTACATTTACAGCGCCGAACAATTCCCACATTGATTAACTGTTAGGTGAAGGTCAAACTAAAATGGAAGGGTTGTTTTTAAGGTCACCAAGAGGATGTTTGAGTGAATACAAGAGTATTGTTCATTTTGCGCATCTATTAAAAAGAAAAGGTCACATGTACATTTTCGATGCATTTTTTTTCGATCATTAAAATTCCTAGACTAGTAAATATACTAAAGCGATGTCACCTGTCAAGCGTACATTTTTATACATGCTTATTCATACATATGCATATATATGCTCATCAGGGCCCTGCTTTGAAATGATAAATATACTTTATACCACACAACTTTCTTGTACCATATACATTGTATATGCAAATTGTTGTAGATAATGTGGTTGCCTTTTCCAATATTATATATTAATTTTAGGATATATCAAAATTGAAAAGGTAGAATATTTTTTAATAAATTCATGAAAAGGGAAAACGAAGAGAAAAGGTTTTTAAAAATATAGCGGAATAAAGTGAGACGTATATATGAATCACGCAAGGAAACCATTAAAAAAAAAATCTCCTTGCCCCCATTAAATCTTCGCGATATGGAGATAAATATAAATCAAATGGTGGATTTCCGTAACGGATTCTGAATACGAGATGTATAATTATTAAAGAGTCGCACGAATCGATTCAGTATTAGGAAAGTTTTTTTTAGAACTTTTTTTTTCATCTTTTCCTAGAATGCAGAAAATTACACATACTCATAAATCTCTATTGTTGAGGGAAAACAATGCACCGAAAACACTGTATATTTAATTGATGCATTTTGAGATAAATTACAATTCGCTGGATTTCAATATCAAAGATTACCGCTATTGAACAAAATAATCCGACCCCCCCCCCCCCCACACACACACTGTTGTAAATAAAACAGCCTAAAATATTTTCCGTGGCAGTGTGGGTTTAACGTAACTTCGTGGAATGCATTACTCCGTGCACTGAAGATATAATGGAGGCATTAATAGCACTCTGACGTCATATACCTCTTCAATCTCACGATTAAGGACCATTTTATACCAAAATACATACTCAAATGACGATAGCAAGTGTGTGAAATCCTCAGTTCCGTAATTAGTTTTCAAATTGACGGAGGTTGAATTACAAAGGCACATACTTTCTATTAATACAACCAGAGAGAGAGAGAGAGAGAGAGAGAGAGAGAGAGAGATGAAACAACATCGATAATTCATCAGTGAATATTCTTCTAGATATGTGCGTGACCGAATCAAACAAAACATCCATAAAATCGAAACCTTATCGTGAGAGGGCAATATTGAGTTCAGTAAGAATTTTAACATATTTAGGTAACCTGCCCAAGGCTGTGTCATGTTGTAAATTTTGTATTTACTGCCACCCGGTAAATTCCAAATTTACAACATGACAGCTGCCAAACTTATCTGTGACTCAAAGTGAAAAAAAGTAACTTGTGCATGTACTTTAAGCATCGCGCTCGGACAATACGATTGACGTTACATGGAATACTTTCGGACATAAATTGACACTTTATACTTTGATTTTGATTTTACTACCTCTAAAACAGCAGAATGTGTATCACCACAATGTCCTATAATTTGATGGTTTAAAATCATTTCTGCTGAGAATCATGACAAACCGTTTACAAGCGATTCTGTTAAAATATTTGATCGATGATACAAAAAAAATTACAAGAGCATTTTCTAAAGCAAGATGATACAAAAAAATTACAAGAGCATTTTCTAAAGCAAGTTATCTTGGAACCAATATAGATCAAATTTCTTTTCAGGTTAACGGAAATAATATTCGTGATTTTTTGGAATATTTATATTTTCATTCCTCTATTTTTTATTTCAGCAAAATGACAACTGGATGCATTTAGGACAAAGAAAATTAAATCGAGACCAAGAAAAGCATGGAAAAGGTTCTATTTGATGTTTGTTATAGTTATTCAATGCTATAAGATGTATGTCTTGGGCAAAAAAGATTATATATATTCGCTTCAAGCACTGTTATCAAATATAGTCAGAAAGATGATTCCGATTCTCGGGAGGTTGGTAAAGAAAACCTATAAATGAACGTCTTTCTGAAAGGAAATAAGAATAATAGATAAACGATGTTTTAGTCTCTCTCTCTCTCTCTCTCTCTCTCTCTCTCTCTCTCTCTATATATATATATACTAGTATATATTGAAAGTACTTGTTAATGGGTCAGTCACGCACAGGTATAGTATAGTTAATCGGGTCATTGCCAGCAAGCCGACAATTGGTCAAATGTAAAATATCAGTAAAATTAATTACTTTCCTACTACAGAAAGTGTTTTTGCATATGATAAAAGTTCAAATGTACTTTAAGTGCAATTAAATTAGTATTTGCTTATTAATGTAATGTTGTAAGTTACAGCAAAATAAATACAGTACACCACGTCTGGGTCAGTTTTAATATTCGTGTAAAACAACTGAGGGACATGAATATGAAAAGCATCTACCCTTACGTTTTCAGTAATTCGGAAATGACTAAAAATTAGACAGATTACATGATCAATATGAACTAGATCCAGCTACCAAAGCAGCTAACATCAGAGTCTTTGTAAGGCTCATTATTACAAGTGCATTTTAAAGGAGCTTGGATTTAATTCTACATGTGGTAATCCAACTTACACTCATACTCCCCTCTCTATGGAAGAATTTCTTCAAAAATCATGTCAGTTTTAAATATTTTCAATATTCCCAACACCAAACTGATTTTTGACTTATACCATACCTATAATGGATTCCAAACCTTCATAAAAATCAAAAGTAATAGCGGAATCTAGCAAGCGTTATACCAAGAGAATCTTAAGCATTACTGTGAAACAACGTATTAGAGAAGTGGTGTTAATCAATTTGGATAGTAAAATATTGTAAGTAAGTTAGTAAGTACGCTTAATCTAACATGACTGCCCTAAGTGAAGAAATATTAATATAGAAAGCACAAAGAAATCCACTGATTTATATGGATACCCACTTCCGCCCCAACCCGGGGTTGAACTCTCGACCTACGGAATCTGCATGTCTCCTAGCAGCGCGCTAGACCGCTCGGCTATCTAGGCAAGTCAAAAAACTTGCTTTCGATGCCGATGGAATTTACTCGGCGCTGTCCTACACTACACGGTCATTGAGAATGGAAGAGAGATGCAGTTATTTGGACATTAGTTTTATTAGAGGATCGTTACCGATACACATTGTAATGAATTAATTTTATTTATACAGCACATTTTACAACAACGCTTATACTAACATAACTGCCCTAAATGAAGAAATAATGAAGAAATATTAATATAGAAAGCACAAAGAAATTCACTGGTACCCACTTCCTCCCCAACCCGAGATTGAACTCTCGAACAACGGAATCTATCTGCTAGCAGCACAGGAACAGCGTGCTAGACCGCTCGGCCATCTAGGTAAGTCAAAAAACTTGCTTTCGATGTCGACGGAACTTTTTTGACTTGCCTAGATGGCCGAGTGGTCCAGCGTGCTGTACCTGTACTGCTAGGAGACAGATTCCGTAGGTCGAGAGTTCACCCCGGGTTGGGGCGGAAATGGGTATCCATATATAAGTGAATTTCTTTGTGCTTTATATATATATATCTGGTCTTTAGCAACATATTTGGTAAGAAATTGGCAGTTTTGGCCTCTATCAAGATGGTTTCGTTACTATATCTTATGACAGGCCAGATATTATGTTTTACTTACTTTAATATCCTGTACTGTGACAGAATATCACTTTGGTATCCTTTCACACTGTGACAGAATATCACTTTTATTCAGTAAATAAATCACAATATAATATTTGGTATTGGAATTGGTTCCCCACGATAGCGATCAGTCTCGATATACAATGGGCAAAACGCCACACCGGAATTGCGCCATTGGAGACCTAACTGATTTTGACAAGTCCATCGCAACGTATTGTTCATTGTAAAGAACTAGACGAAAATTTGAAATCACAAAAAATTTACCAAAATTAATAGCATAAAAACATGTGACTTCTCAAAACTTTAAACAACCATTCCCCACTATAGATTAAAGAAAATCCTTTTTAATATCATAAACAACTGCTTCTTAAATAAAAATTGAACTCGTAAATTTTCCTATATTGTCACTGTTCATAGATACACAAGTATACAGTGAAGTTGATATTAAAAGGTGTTTGAATTCCTCATGTACAATATCTATGTAGTCTTTGGAGACCAGGTTTTTAAACAATTTTAAAACATTAAAAAAAAAAGAATAAACTAATAAGTAAAAGAAAAAGAAAAAAAAAAAAAAAAAATCAAACAATCCGTTGGAATTTCCATGAGTTCTGATTGTGCTCCATTATTAGCGGACAAGTTTATGATACAAGGGTATTTACTATCTCTTTTGAAGTCAATATTTCGTCAATACAGTGACCTTAGTTTGCAAATAACAATCTTTCGTTAGATCGAATGTACACTGACGTCTTTCTATCATTGTATAAATTTCGAATTCACTAGGTGGAGATAAATACAAAATTTACATGATAACTAATTATCATATTTTAATTTTGCATTTATCTCCATTTAGTAACTTCAAAGTTCACAAATTTCATACAAATTGTTAAGATATTATTTTCTTACTGAATTGACCACGCGTTTCTCCGTTTACACGATCATGACAAAAAGCACAAGGCAGATGTAACCGTTTAACAGGGATGCTACTCTATAACCTGATCCCATCTCTGATGTTTTTAGAGCTCCGTGTTTGTTCTGCTCCGGATTGATCATTGTTCGTTAGCTTCAGATTTTAAACATAAATTTGCCGAGGTTAATATTGTATTTTGATACACATTTTGTTCTTGCCAAATTTTGCGTTCGTACATTTTATTGAAATAAAGTACAGTGTATCAAGCATTCCAATTTATAGTCATCAACCATTTTTTTAAATGGAAAGAAGGAATTTCTCGAAAAGTCCACATAAGCAATAAATTCCATCTTTATACCGTTTTATAACGAATATATTATAGAAAACAGTCATACTCAAAGCGTTTTATTTGATTTGCACAGGTACGTAATTGTTTCGATATCATCTGAATTTATACAACACAAACATAATGATAAACAAACAACAGATAAAAACAAATACTATCACAAGCCCATACGCATATCTCCCCAAATCACAATAGTTATCAACAAACTATTAAATAAAAATACTCATATTCAAATCTAACCATTTAAATAACAGCTTTTGGCTTTCTGTATATAAATATCATGTGGTATGTTCCTTTATTTACCTCAATCCAATCAATTCAAAATTTTGAATTCAGTCAATAAAAAGTATTTGAAAGTGACGACTTTATAATCAACGAGTGACCTAGAATACGCTGAATGCTAAAAATATTCTTTTTCATATGACATTTCCGATCGATAGATTTGTTTTAAACTTTAATAAGTATGTAAAATATTTTGGTATATTCTGAAAGAATACCAAAAGTTCATGTTGAAAGACGATGATAATTTGAGACACAAACTACGACATAACCTTATAAATTAGTTAACTCAGCAAAATTTTATGTTAATTTTAAGCAAGTCACTGGAAAGTACGTAATTAACTTAATGGGAAAGTAGGCTCTGCGGAACTTAGGCAAGGTTTATAATTCTACGTGACGGCCTGGATATTTGTCTATACTGTACGAATAAAGTTTTTTTTTTTCAGCGACGAATTACTTTTCATTAGAGAATATATGAAATCTCAATGAGCTAATAACATTATTATTTGTTGCTATTCTTGTTTTTCTGTTTTAGACAATTACCAAAAATTACATAGAAAAAAATATGATAAAATTTTGTTTTTTCCCATTTAAACAACTCCACATCTTTCTTTCTGTTTTTAAGCAGATTTTGTATCTTTACAGCAGTTTTGAAACAAATTAAGAAAGTATTTTAATGTTGAAATTAACACCAAAAATAAATTTATGAATTAAATAATATTTTGGTAAGAATACTTTTGCTAATTTTGACCCTCACATTCTTTAAGACGAACCTGAGATCGTTGTGTACGTAAGGTTTGATAGAAACTATGGATACAAAAAAGAGAGAAAAACACAATCCTTACTTACAAGCTTCCCCCTCTATTAACATTTGTAAATTCATATCTAATCGCGGCTTGTGATATCTGTACAACAATATATGTAATGGATTTTAAATTGAAAAATCCATATGAAACATTTGGAATTATTTATGTTTTTTCTATAGCCCTTCTAGCAGAAGTACTATATGTGGCGTTGAATCTGCAGCACTTTTGGTTTTAGTGAGTTCAAGTAATTAATCCACTGCGCAATTTTATGTTAATGTCACACGACAGCATACAAAAAGGACACCAGATAAATGACCACACAAACGAATTAACAAGGAGAAATACGTATTTCCCATTCGAAGACATCCTTCCTTAGAATATTTACAAATTCGATAAATAAGCAACTGTTTTCCATACATTAGCGGGGACAGAATTATCACACACTTTGTACATTTCCTCTCGGGATACTACAATACAAGACTACAATAGCTAAATACTGGGGCTAACGCCTTTGTACAAAATTCGATTCCAAATGCAGTAAATCCAGCTTTAGAGAGAGAGAGAGAGAAGATTAAACACAGCTGCGATCTTTCACAAATTTTTTTTCCAAACAAAATTAAGTTCCCGATCCTGGCTCAGCTTTAATCGGATGCAGCTTTCTTGAAGCTAGTGGCGAAATTTCATCCTCTTCGTCAGTAAAGGCAAATTTATCGATTTCGCCATTCGGTAATCCGTTGGTTTTAATGGGAACCTTTATCGGTATTTTTAGCGTCGAAGATGGCGGCTCGCTGTCATCAATAGACGAGGTTTTCTTTTTAATACTTAAATCCTGTGGTAAATCGCCATTGTGAGGAGATGCATTGTTGGAGTACAGGGGTGACGTGTTTAGTCGTAAATTCAAATGAGAGTGGGCAGTGGGCACAGTGATTGGCATGTGGGAAATGGGCGGACCTCGTTCTGGAAACGAGAATATCCTTCCTGTTGATGAAGACATATGGCGGGCAAGAGGCGACGTTTGTAGAATTCTAGCTGTGGGGTTAAATGAATGTGGGGAGGGGGAAGTGGGAAAAGAGCGATTGGTGGGAGAAGGGGATAATGAATATAGAGAGGAGGGGGACACTGACGACCCGGGCGTCAGACGACCGTTAGTTGTGGTTGATGGAATCCGCCGAGATGGAGAAGAAGTTTTTCGCCGTGTCGGAGAAGACGATAATGTTCGATTCAAAGGGGATGATGGATAAGGTCTCGGTGACGTCACTGTAGGTGACAATCCTATGGGCGACGGTATTGTTAAGCCGTTAGTATAACAGCCGTATGATGAATATGGCACGGTTAGTTTGAGTTTCTGTCCGTTTGATGAAGGTTTGTTTCCTTGTTTACTGGTGATAGTTGGAACTGCTGCAGTTGGAGCGTTAGTAGCACCGACTTTAATAGATAATTTATTAGACTCATTTTTCACATTAATGTCGTTGTTTGATACAACTTTGGCTGAGCCATTTTGAGATATCTTGCTTTTGGCAGTGGAAGTTGATTTACTTGAAGTATCAGAATTAATTTTCTCTGTCGTCGAATTCTTAGCGGGTGAACTTTTAGAAAAAAATATTTTCTTTTCTATGCATTTATCCAAAGAGGAGGACTTTGCACAGTTGTCTTGTGTACACATTTTCTTCGTAGTTTTGTCAGCCATATTCGATGGAAGTTTATCAGCACCATTTGAATCAGAAGTTGACACAGTTGGCTTCTGTGTTACGCGGGGGTAATACACAGGTGTTGTCAGTGTAGTGCTCTTCGTGACAATACCCTGTGAGGTGTATTTTGATGTGTTCAGTTTAAGCTTGGGAATACGGTTCGCACTGGACGAAATATCAGAAGTAGGAACAACCAATATCGCGGACTTCGATGTCGGAGTTGGAGGTTGTTTTTCAGATTTGCTTTTAGAATGCTTTTCTTTTTTGGCGGGAGATTTAGCTAGGATGAACGACGGAGAGGAGACATTTTTAGAAGGCGACTTGTCTATTTCCATTGGAATTGCCTTAATCTTATTGGAATCACTTTCACTACAAGAGATTTCCCCTTTCAAACTCTTCTGTGAAAGTGTAAAGTTTTCCGCCTTTGAAATGCTTACTTTTTCTTGAAGTTCCTGCGATGGAGTATTGTGTTTTTCTGTTTGAACACTATTCATTGTGTCATTTGTTTTAGTTAACTCTTTTGAAGGCTCACATTTCTCACTTATTGATTTGCTAATTTCCCTCTTTGACTCGATTGTTTCCCTTTTTGACTCGGTTGTTTCCCTTTTTGACTCGGTTGTTTCCCTTTTTGACTCGGTTGATTCTCTTTTTGACTTGATTGCCTCCCTTTTTGACTCACTTATTTCACTTTTTGACTCGTTTGTTTCCCTTTTTGATTCAGTTTTCCCTCTATTTGTCTCGTTAGTTTCCTTTCCTAATTCGTTTGTTTCCCTTTTTGACTCACTTGTCCCTTTCTTTGACTCAGTTATCTCCATCGCAGAGATACTGTCTTTTACATCCTTTAAAGATGTGATTGATTCCAACGTGGACGAAGGAGGAATGGTTTTCTCAAAAGCATCAGAAGTCTTTGTTTCTTTATTATTTTCATGCAACGAAGTAATAGACTGCGTTGATTCTTCTAATTCATTAACCTTGGACTTCTCCTCGTTCTCTCGTTCCGGTTTATCGTCCAGGGAAGTATTTTTCTTTTCGATTTCCACCTCTGCTGTCGTTGCCTTGACTTTCTCCAGATTCAATGTTTCAGTACACGAAATTTCCCGTTTAAACCTTTTGGCTGGATTGGTGTACACCGTGTAGTATAAACACAATGGTTCTTTCTGCGGAAAAGAAACATAACACATTAAAAGATATTAATACACCTTGTTGTATGTATACAAACATTTTTCTGCAAAAATAGAAAAATATTGAGTAGGGATGGAGTCGAAGGGATCCTTCCACACAACGATAACTATGCGTAATTAGATTTAAATTTTGAAATTCTTCAAACGAGAGTTTTGTGTATCTTTTATAGTGACTGATTTCTACAATTCTAAAACATTATTGTGGAGATACATTGGACTAATGCACTGTACAAATATAAACCCAACTTTTATACTCGTGCGAGATACCCTAGCTATTCAAGCTCTAGAGAATCAGTCACTCACTACAGATACAAATAAATGATGCCGCATACAATAGTTGGTTTACAGTAAGTATACTGAACAGCCAATGAATATAGATCTTGAGGTCCTGGTTTGTTTCCCGTTCGCCGCATCGCGAGGTAAACATAGGTAGTGACTGTTCCTTCGCCAAGCGCCCGACACTAGAAATAGTTGGTAAGGTTTTTTCAAATGAGACGTAAAAAAACGAAATTCATCGGCATATGGTGCCGTCTCTATATGAGTGAAAAATTCCCGAATGGGACTTTAAACAACAATCAATCGAATAAATATTTTTGATGCAAGGAAAAACAATGAATTAATAAATTTTCTTAGCTATAGAATGATAATTGATCTACCTTAAATGAGTTGTTCCTTTTATCCAATCTATGATCTTTGATTCTACATATTTTGTAAGCGTACAAAACTTATATAGCGCACTCAAAATTGAGCGAAATCTCCCTATTTAAATGATAATCGTAATCATTAATTAAATCATTCGAGTCTAAAACTACATGAGCAGTGTATTGATTTTAATCAATCGCAAACATGTATATGAATTAGCCGACAATTAGCAGCGAAGAAGGCGCTCAAATAACTGCTGAAATATGTACCTTTAAAGTTTATAATCACCGTTCAAGAGCTTAAAATTACATATTTTTGCAACGCAGTTATTATAACAGGTTAAAACATACAAGTAGTACTTTTGATGTGAATAATCAGGCTCTTTTGAAGTGGAGCAGAGGGAATAGAATTGAATTGATTACGTCAAAAGCGTTTCCTGCACTTTAAGCCGAGAGGAGATTATTAATGTAATAATGCAGTGAAAGCAGTGCCATAGCAAACAAGACACGCAGTCTAGGATTCCGATTTAATGAAAATGAAAGCTTCGCTGGTAGCATGTACAGTAGTTATGGTATTCGTCATGACGAGGTAAAGAGATCTTTTGCATACAAAACACATCAAGTATTAAACGAGGCGAAGAAAACGCATAAAAAAGAATATGAGAGTCGACGAACATCACATGTTAAAGAGAATAAAATACATAATCGGCGTAAGATATCTCCGTGTTTCCGGTTGACGCCTTCTATGCACACGCAAACTAATTAATGATTTTAAACACAGAAAAAAAGTGTTCTCCAAAACGTGTGTTGTTTCTTCTGGAGTTAATGAGTTCAGGCTGATTGTTTTTACTATCGTCTGGCTACATTACGCTACACGGTTAAATCTGTTTGAAGTTGTGATTAACAAAAGGCTTTCAATTTGATTGTTACCGATGGGGAGGAAATTAGAGACATTTTCTAAATACACATGGTTGTTAGTCATGAAGTTTTTTTCTTTCCATTCCTTAATTGAAGATAGTGCATTTAAATCTTATACCATTCGTTAAATTGATTCAACGAGATAAATAATTTGATCACAAACTTTTCAATTTAATGTTCTGAATAGAAAACATTTCCAGACAAAGATATTAGTTAGGATTAAAACATATTCATGAATTTTTAAACCTGTTATACTGTAGATCACCATATTTTCGAGACACCTTATCATCGCGAGATAGGTATTTGGTATTTATAAGCAAGACAAAATTTTCACGAAATCTGGATATTGTTGTATATAACATATACGAATGAAAATATACGCGAGAATGACATTTTCGCGAGTCGAACGTCTCGCGTAATCACGCGAAAATAAAGGTCTCGCGAAAAAAATGATTTACAGTATTAGATCATCGTTTGAACGGAAGGATTACAAATACAGCTAATTTACAGTTGATTCAAGATCTTCATTAATAACAAACGATAAGTTTGTCAAAATTTCAGTTTACAACTTAAATATTTATGAGATATATCAATAATGTATGATTTAAAAAGTTGTATAATATGAACTTTAATATTAGTACAATTTAAAAATTAATAATACTTTTAAGATATTGATTTAGTTAAGAGATTGATTTGGTACATGTTCGTGGCATTTAACGTTATCAATAAATCATGATAAACAAATCCTTTATGTATGAATATTACCAGTTTAACTAAAACATTTAAAGACTAAAAGTGTCCATGTTCGGCTATTTATAAGGTATTTAAATGAGTTCAGTTTAGTAAGACATTTTAATATTAATAAATAAATCCCCTATTTAATCGAATAAAAAATAACAATTAAATTACACTACATAATGAAATATTTCCATCGCCGTAATTGAAATGATACTCTATGAAAATTCAACTAATGATTCATAAAAATGTTTTCCTGAAAAATAATAAATTCTTGTTAAAAAGAATACAAAAAGTTTTGAAAGATTAATTAAAGAAATTCAATTATATATAAGTTAATGATAAGTTTTTTTTTTCCATGAATGTTCTGAATATTAAATGTAAGAACCACTACACAAAAAAGAACACAGCATCCCAAACTGGAAAGAGAGGTGGAAAAAGGAATACATGTAATTTGGTTTTTCAATTAATATTTAAACCTTTCCTTAAACTGAAACGTGTGCAAATACAGGAAAGCATGTTTCACAACACAAATCAGCACTCTTAGAGAGATGTTCAACTTCAAAGAAAATCTAATTGCTTTCTTGGAACTATCGTTTTTGACATTTCTCTGTCATTCCAACTTAAAATTTGTACAATCAAGACAACTTGGAAATTAAAAGTACAGACTCCAATATTTATTTCCGCTTCTTTCTGTGATTAAAACCATTCTGTCTTAACAAAGTTAAACAGGATTTTAATTTGTAAGCATATATCAGGACGCTTTTTAATGATTTGAAACACATTTTATATTATAATATAATAAAAAATTAAAAGATTAAGCAGCAGGTTTTGCCTTTGCCGATTTATATATTTTCATCTTTAATTACAGTAGAACATATTTCACTTAAAATAAACTCCTTTTCTCAGTATAATTGCTTTCAAATTTTCTTTTCTTGCTATTGTTTATTCATAAAAGATGTGTCTATAAATAGCACTGAGACATTTCTGTAACAGTAATTTTAAATCGGAATGACATAAATTTTATGGATTCTGGAAAAGGATTAAAGCGCGTTTATAACTCTGAAAAAAAAAAAAATCGATGGCGACTGTGAATAACACATTGTGAAAGGCCTTGGAAATTCACTTTCAATGCAGCGTATAATTTAGGAAACAAATTCTACGATTTTTTTCCCCTGAAAAAGGTAGAAAATATTTAATCAAAAATGTCTTATTAGCTAGTCCACTGAAATTCTATCTATGAGGACATTTTTGTTATTTCTGCTAGAATGCTGCAATGAACTTATTTTGCTCAAATTTGCTCAACGAGAATGAGCGCAGAGTGCATTTTCAAAATAAATATAATGTAAATTACTTTGCAATCTACTTTTCCAAATATTTTTCACGAATACATAAAGAAGATCATTTTTCATATACATGTATATATATATATATATTTACCCGTCTCCACATGTAAATGTAAGCCACGTCAATAAGGGTATAGAAATCACTTAGGACTTCGTCTGTATGATACATATCTATCTGTAATCAAGTTTATAAATAAAATCAGTAAAGCAAACAAATCACTGCAAAGAGAACAGGGGCCCGTTTCACAAAAGAATTTACGACTACGACACAAAACTCAAGTTGATTGTAAAATTTTGCGAAATTAATGATTTTATCTTAAATTGTTAACAAAAATTTATCTTTCTAAATTCTTTTTAAATAGATTAAAACCATTTTTAAAATTAATGTAAAATAAAAATTTTCAGCAGAATTAAATTTTGATCTTAGTCGTAAGTTCTTTTGTTAAACGGACCTTAGAACTCAAATCAAGAAAGCATCACAATGAATTATACATTATCAATTCTTTGATAATGTTTCAGAGTTTTTTTGTTCTTGATTCCTACTTCGCTGTATTGTATTTATTGTATTTACTTTAATATAATAATTCATAACAAAATTAATAAACATTTTTCTCAAAACATTGTCCACACATGTTAAAATTTAAAGTACCATGGAAAAAATGGTATATTGAGAGTTTTGACATTCAAGATTTCAAGAAAATTCACAAGGTATTAAAAATTATTGCTTTAGATTATTTCATGCAAACGAAATTTTTTAACTTTCAAGCAAAAAAATTAGTTTTATTCATTCAATAATATTTTTCCTTTCCTGAGTAATTTTGAGTTTAACATAAAACACCATAAGCCTAAAAGAAGAATTTTGGGTTCATTAAAATCTTGATTTACGTTTTATTTAAATATATTTTACACATAAAACCCATTTTTCATTCTTATAGCACTAGATCATATTCACTCGGAATCTGACACTTTTATTCCAGATAATATTTATGTCAAGGTTGAATAAGAAGAAAGGAAATGCTTGTTGAGAATTTGTCTACCTGATAACGGTCGCTTAGAGAAAATTTGAGGCGGATGAATTTCTTCAGTAGACCAATGGTCACTACTGCTGGACACAAAAGGTATCGACAGTCACCAGACTAAAAAAAAATAACATTACATCACATTTTAAGATAACTTTGAAAAAATCAAAATTAAAATGTGTTACAATGTATTTCAAAAAAAAAAAAGAAAGAAAGAAAAAACAACAGAAATATCATCTTTGTGTTACATAGTAAACTTTATTTTCTGTTCTCAAGTCATACACTATTGTAAGAAGATGGTATTCTTTGAAATTCAACTCAATTGCTTTCATTATCCCATATTGTAAATTAATTCTGTGATACTGTGAAACTTGAATTTCTTACTTCTTTTCCCATCTTTTCATTAGATTTTAAAGATGGTTTTGGAGACTTTCCGCTGCAAGGAAGAAATTATAGAATATATATTATTATAACAGAGAAGAAGTACTTACTCATTCAAAGTGTATACATTTCTTAGGTTTGACAACAGTATAAACATAGATTTCATCACATGTGCAGATAAATACTTATTGTGATATTATAAAGCATTACAATCTCCTGTTACTGAGAAATTAAACATGACCAAAGAAAACCAGTAGCTTGGAAAACATAATTAAGTGCTCAATGTCTCAAAAGAGATTTTCACAACTTCCAAATAACAGGATGTGAAAATCAAATGACCCAATGCCTAATCTGGACAAGAAATATTGAAGAGAATTAATAATTGAAAAAAAAAGTTTTACTAAAAAAAATCTTAATTATAATATCTAAAAATCAAACAATGACACTCTATTCAATGGAAATGTCAACATCACACAGCAATAAAGAAAGAATGGAAGAGAGCAATAAAGAATCTTACTCTGGACTGAGATGCAGCGCTAGGCTAATTTGTTCGTCCTCTGCAAATATCACCCTTTCTCTCTGGATTTCGCCGTCATCGTCCGTGTAGTACTCCGGCCTATTCGGATCATTCCACATGCTGTCCACATCTGTTTACGAAAAAAGAAAACCAATTCAAAGAGGTATATTACCAGTGGCTATGCTTCCAAAGTTGAGGTTGTCTCAGTGCATGACATATATAAATTAGTGAAGTTTTTCTCTGAAAAAAATCTATTTTTTACCATGCTTGATTATATATTTATATCTGTATTTGATATTCATTTTATTACAGTTAAGCAGTAAAACGAAACCACAATTTATAAACTGAAACTCAGAAAGGTCTATGTCAAAATAAACAGAAAAGACGCCAACCCCAAATATTCATCATACAGAACTAAATGATTGATAGGAAAGCTTACAGACTTTATAACTTGTTTAAATCGTAAATTGTACACAAAAGGACATGCAATAATGTTGTTTTCCCTCTACCATTATAACGATTTAAAAATCACTGTAAATATTGTTCGAATTTTACTACCACTAAAGCGTACCTTGTAATTTAAATGAAAAGGGAGATACGTTATTCAAATCTACGTTCTTCCACTAAAATGCTTGAAGTAATTTACATAAAGGAAATAGGGAAACGTTGACATATATAAATTATGTTCTAGTTGAATCTATAAATCTCCTCCATGGGACGTTCCTTCTCGCATAAAGAAGTAAAGATGAAAAAATACACATTTTCTTATGGTTCAGTTAATTTGTAACAATTTAAATGATTAAACAATTAAAACATATTCTATTTCAAAGAAATTCATAAATGCAAATGCTAACTGAAGTCAATTATTATGATACTAAATATATTAATACTCACATGAAAATGTATCACGTTAACCCCATTATTTCGAAAAAAAAAAATAAATAAAAATGAGCAAACATCTATAGCAGTATGTTATCTTAGAATGTATAGTAAGCTTACCTTGCCCTCTTTCTTTGTAGAAATCTCTTCTCCTTTTCATTTCATCTACAAAACAGAAACAAGATATTTCACTTACTTGACCATATAGTGATTCACTTAAAAGATAGTCAAATTTAGTATTCTAATGTTATAAAAAACACTTTTGAATGTTGGCAAAACTGCATCAGGAGTATTAAATACAGATGTATATAAATATATAATCCCTAAAAATGGGTAATTATAATTTCAATGAACGAAAATTAACTGACCGTGGGGTATCTAGACCACAATTGATTTTTTAAAAATCTCCTCGATCGTACTTTAAGCTGTATAAACAACTGCACAATATAATATAAATGAAAAGAAAGTTGCATGTTTTCCAGCTGGAAGTCATATGTATCATCAGATCGAATTGAAAGTTTCACGTTTCATCCCTTTAGAGGGATAATTCATAAAACTTCCAATTTAGTGGCATAATTCATGTAACTTCCAATTTAGTGAAGTTACATTGTTCATCCCACTACATTGGAAGTTACATGCATTAAAACACTAAATCGCAATTACACAAATTATCTCTCATAAAGTGGAAGTTACATTGATTTGAATAATAATACTGAAAGTTACGTTATGTTTTACTCCACTAAATTGGAAGTTACATGAATTATAACACTAAATTGGAATTGCATGAATTATCCAACTAGATTAGATGTTACATGAATTATAAATAAGAAGTAATTTTTTACTATAATCACGGGGGTAATGTACGGAAACTGATAGTCTTGTATAACTTCAAGATATTCAAGACAACTATTGTGTTGTATTGGAAATACACATGTAAAAATTCACTGTCAAGCAGCAGCATCATTACAATGTATTGTAACACTCTTTAGTGGAAACGAATCACACCGTACACTACACAATTCACAGCAAACAGATCTAAACAAATGAATTGAACGAAAATATGTTTTTGTCTTCAGAATGGAAAATAATTTAGCGCGCCATTCACCGTTTAAATGCAATGAAACCCTATATTCAAGAGGTTTATTGAGCCAATGTCACGACCAAACATGGAAGTGTCTGACGATCGATACATGGAGTGTGAAGTCATCTATATTTCATGTCGAGTGTTTGATGTATCCGTTGTCGGGTTATGAAGAGATTGATGGACGACCTGTTCTCTGGGCTTTTACGATCAACCCGTCACCCTGTCATCATTTTTTTCTTTTGTTTAAAGTTTTTTTTATACGACCAGCATTAGAAGTTTGTATTCAAACACTGTCACAGTTAAGGTTGATCAAATTGTCAAACATATATAGCAGAATGAATTGAAAGGCGTTTACTTTTGAAATTTTAGATATGAAAAGGAGAAAAACAAAAAATGCTTCTTACTTTGAAACAATCCAGGCACTAATTTATATACCAGATCTTGCAGAGTATGGTCTAATCTAAAATAGAAAATCAGAATTAGAAACAGAAATAGGCCATTACATGTATACTTTTTACATGACTGTATTTAAATCTTTTCGAGATGACACAAATTAATTTATCCTTTTAAAATGTTTTAATTTTTCCATAAAGAACCCCGCATCTATTCTTAGATAATATCCTTATTTTAAACGAATAGAAAAAAGTGCATATTTTACTTTGTATCAAATTCATTCTGAATCTTTAAAGACCGTGATTATTTTAGAGATGAGCCGAGTATTTTAATTTGTGTGACGTAGGTTATATGCAAGAGGAGCGTCAAAAACCATTATACCAAATGTTACATCAAGCATATTTCATTCTGTAACAGACCAGATATAATTAACCGAATTTGCCAGAAGATATTAAGCTTCCTGTATGCATTGATTTTTTTCTTCTGTAAAACTATTTCCATTCCACTAATAGCACGGTGGAATAGACGTTGTCTTCTTACTGCAGGGAATTTTAAAATACACTAAGATAAAATGTTTTTTTGCAAGCATAGTTATCAATTTATGTCCAGATACAGAATGAAGAACACGAATGAGGGAAATAATCAACGCTTCTCTTCAAATTTCTTTTGTTTCAATCTTCCTAGTTTGTAATATGTCTAACAGTAATAAATCTAAAATTTATCTATTTAAATAGTTGGTTCGTTCTTTCTATATATCACTAATACTAGGTCTATGAGAACAAATATGTTGCGGGCAAATTAAATGTTGATAAAGATAACAAACAGCAGGAAAGGAACAGTTGCACTCTGGTGACTTTAAAAGGCCTGACCAGGTTTCCCCTGTCAAAAATGGAAATATTTTTCACAAATTCAAAAAATTCTACTCTTGGAAAGACCTAAAACTCGATATTCTGTGATCAATGAGAAAAACCAATGAAGAAATCAAAAGTTTGTCCTGTAAAGCAATTCTAGTTGATATTCATGCAGTGTTTTTCTTTCCCTAAAGATCAAATTAAGATAACTGATAAATATATTAGGAAAAAGAAAAGGCTAATTAGAAAGCTTATAAAAAGGGAATGCAGAATAAAAAAATGAAATTAGTAAGGAACGTATCTCTATCCATTGACATTAAAGACTGATATTTCAATCATCAAGTACATTTACAATTTTTGTGATTATTGATATTAACATAGTTCCTCTTTATTACATCTTTATTAATTCATTTTATTTTCACACATTGTTAGGTAAATTACTGTACAAAATGATGCAATTAAGGACAGATGATACAAACCAAAATATGGATGCCTGGATTGGTATATATTTTTTGACCTATTTTGGTTGTAAATGATAAGAATAATAAATTTTTAAAACATAAAGAAATTGTTAACTTTCTAAGATGTTCAAAATCCCACCTTTCGGCAACCATCCTTATTAATCTATACAATTTTTGTCACTTTAAGTCCAATTATTGTGGAATTTTAAAAGAAAAATGAAAATCTTTGCGGTTAAACTAATTCAATTTACTTGTATTAACATGACTTAAATTGTTATTTTCAAGACTTTTGATAAAAATTTGTTTGTATCATCTGTCCTTAAAATACCCGAAAATTATTTAGAGTTTGTAGAAAAAAGATATAACTCTCATTATTTTGTACTTCGAAACATCTGAAATTTGTTTCTATATGACTTTTTCAAAAAAGACATGTTGAATTTTGTTTGACATTATTTAATCAATATACTTTATTACCCAAATATACGTAATTAAAAACACTTAATCATAGAGGTATTCGGGATACAAAACTGTAGACTTACCTGATGTTAGTGAAAGGTTTTGTTTTGTGGACTTGGACATCACAAATAGGACAGAACTTGCTGCTTTCAAGGTACCGGACTATGCAGGTTTTACAAACTGAAAGAAATAAAAACTATTAAATGAATGTAAGTATGAAATCAATAAGAAAATCCATCTGTATATAAATACAATGTATTTTGAAAGACAAGTATATACCTTAATGTTTTAATGATCCATAAAATATAATCTTTTCATTGAATCTAAAAACGTATTAAAATTCGAATCTGATAGATATTTAGTGTACTGATAGAATTTAAACCCTTGCTATTGCCATAGAAATTATTTAATCAATAATTCTACAAGGAACTTAAAGTTGTATCATACTTAAGTTTATTCATGAATTTTTCTTACGAGATATGTAATACCTCTCAAATATTGATATATTCTAAATACAAGTTACATTATCTTTATTAAGAATAAGTTTATAGATTCTTGCATCAAACTATTAACAACAGGAATTAATTAGTTTGAAAAAATTGTTTAATTTCTAAATTCACCTCAAGGGCGAAAATGCAATTTTATTTCATCACCAAGAAATAGTTAATAGTTAATCTAACATTTTGTTTTAAATGTAATATCTTGCCTCTTTATGAATTTCACAAACAATTAGGATATTGAATGTGAATGTAAATTTATCAATTTACGAGTAGACAACCAGACTATCTCGGAGAAAGGCAAATCAGCGAAAATAACGTTTACAATCTACACCAATAAAGTTCGATCAATATTGACACTGACTAGGTGCTTCTGTACTCAGTGGCCTTTTCTTTACCTTACTGCAGTTAAAGACATGCATTATCAGGAATTCCTTACTTAATCTACTTAAAAAGTAACCCAAATTCCGCGAGAAAAGCCAGTCTGTGATCCATTCTGCTGTGTTCTGCATCAGTAAGCACTGAGCAACTTAAACACATACTGACGTCACAGAGGGTTGTAAATTTCACACAAGAAGATAAAGAAAAATCATTTTTCTTCATCGCTTGAGAGCATGCGAGTTATTTAAGAGCAGTAATGTTCGAAGTGACTCACAACAAATTTACGTAATTATATGCATCTATAATAACAATTTGTAATCATTGATTCACTGGAAACTCTTTTCATGCAAAACATTATTTTATAGGAATAAAAAAAAACATTGTAATACTCAACGTTACGGTTTGCTATCAAATTTGCGTTAAAAGCACAAACTGGTAAATTAATTTTATTGATATTCTTTAAAAATAAATACAAAAAAGACATAATTATTAAAAAAATCAATGGTACATGTACCAACAATTTACTCTATCTTTTGTAATTTAGCCTAAATGTGCAAAACAGAAAAAAATTTAATCTTCAAATCGTTCGACTTGGATAACAAAGGGAGTCTTTAAATCATGATACTTTGATAGCAATGACACATTTTAAATATGATGGAGAACAATCAACATAGACAAACATTACAGACCAAAAACGATACTCCATCTCAAGGCTATAAATATTCAAGTTAGTGCTCAAGTTTTCTCTGGCAAATACTTTACATATAAAAACAGGAGCAGAATATTGCTACAATGACAAGTTTGCCAGCTACGTTTCAGTTGACGTTATTATCACAAGAAATCGACAGATGATAAACACAATGTGTTTTCTCTTGTTCACGTAGCCAGCACTAATCCACAGCCACGATATTTAAATCATCAATAGCAGCCTTACTTATCTTCCCAAGCAGCATTGGAACGCTTTCAACATTAGGCAGTTCAGCACGAGTTCACTGTTAAGATGGATATATATAGAGAGAGAGCTACTAAGTTTCTTTCTGACCTTGCAGTCGACACGTGTATTATAAGAGGTCATCTAAGGCAACAGCTATGCAATCAATTATCTTCCTGAGTATCATGCAAAAAGTCGGAAAAATATTATTTTTATGCAAAGAGATTTACATGCTTTTAGATATCATCAATGTTAAATAGAAAATCTCTTTTTTGCGCTGTACAAGAGAGAAATGTAAGAAAAAAAATGTAAATGTTTACTTTTATTTAACAAAAAATGTACTTTTTTCCTCTTTCGAGTGGAACATAATTGCAGATTTCAGTAATATTATTCAATGTCATTTGGGAAAAGATACCAAATACATGTATCTGCAATTCTAATTGATATTAATGTTTTGCGATTCTGGAATCGTCTCGTCACACTAGAAAAATTGTCTGACGAAGATATCTTAAAGACCACGATCAAAATAACCTAACAAACTGGACCTCAAAAATTACATCTTTTATTTGATTCTCTGAATATGAGGCATATCAACACAAACCTGTCAACAAGCAGCTTAAAATTAGTCGAAAAACTTCTTTGTCCAAAACTTGAAAGGCAATGGTTTGAAGACTTAAAACATGTTTCCAATCTCCGAACTTACCGCCTCTTAAAGAGCAAGTAGGATCAGGAGCAGTAAGTGAATGGACTTATCCAAATCTATACGATCAGTGATGGAAATGTTTCGGTGCCGTGTACAACCGTTCGAATTGAAATTGGATGTTAATTTGAGCCACCTCAAGACAGAATATGCCAATTTTGCAACAAAAATGTGAAAACGAAATACATTTTTACTGCATTGTAAATTATATCAAAATAAGAGAATAGACTTCTTCCGCAAAAAATTCATAGTGTAATTTTTTTCACTTTTATTTTTTGTAAAACTTTTCTAGGTAATCTACTACTTTTATGTTTGATGCTTTTAAAACCCGTCAAAACTTCACAAAAAGGCATCTCTTTATCCTCACTTATTTATAAATTGTCAGACTATTAAAAGTAACATATAGGTCTTCTCGGCCGAATGTAAGAAACCTAGTTTCTTTTTGTGAAACATACTGTATAATTGTACCAATAAATACTCGTATGTCACTATAAGAAATAATTAACCTGGTTACTTACTATTTTTAGCACAATTTAATTTCATGATCATACAAGAAAAGCAACATTACACCCACTTCATTCTTAATATATTAAAAAAAAACTTTGTATCTTTTATTTACTTCTAGTAAATACTAATACTTTTTTGCAACAGATAATTTTTTTTAAGTTAAATGAAATGTACATGTATTCTCTTTAAAGACAAATATGTCTAATATCAAAATGAAAAAAAAATTGTTTAGTATTCCAGTCATAATTTGTGCTTAACTTACATGAAAGCGGTTTTTTTTTTTAAAATTTATACATTTAAACAAAGGTTATTGAAAAAAAATCTATATTTATAGAATAAACTGAGTTTAATGTTGCAACGATGTTGTACCTATAATCATGTAATACAAAATAATTGTCTGTCACTTTGCAGAAATGGGTTCAATAATCCCATGTACGTAATAATACTAGTAAGTAAATTTTATCGCAAAATTGTTCTGGAAATAACAATGCTTATCACTTTTTTTTTCTTTCAGCACTCCTGTACAACAGGTTAACAAAAAGTTTTATGGGATATCCCTAATAAAAAGGAATTATTGTTAACTATAGTAAACTATAATTAACTATAGTTTACTATAGATATATATAGTTTACTATAGTATCAAAGTTTTTTTCCCTATAGTAAATCAAAGTTTTTCACTATTAAAGTAAATCAAAAAATCTTTACTATGGATTTCTGATTGTTATATTTTATGTTTTCCATTTTTTAAAAATATTTAAATTAAGGTAAGTTAACTAACCCTAATCTATAACCCTAACCCTTAAGTTAACTGTAGTTAACTATAATAAATGTTTGTTAGGGATATGATAAGAGGTAAGAGAAGACAATATAAGGTGTATTTTTTTGTCAATCATCTTTAGAACAGACGATTTGTTACTGATATGGGCATGTCTTATTGCCCTGTAAACAGGTGTAAAATTTGCTGCATTACATTAGTAAATTAATTGAAAATTGTGTATTTTTTATGCAAAAGAGGATTCAAAGAAGTATAAAAAAACTTTAAAAAAAAAAAAAAAAAAAATTGTACAGAAGTTGATTTAAATAAATTTTTTTCATAATTATAATTTTCTTTTTAAAAATATATCAAATTTTCAGAATATATTTTTGTTGCATCGAAGAATGTATATCTATCTATCTAGTCGATTTGATAACGTTAAACAATTACACTCTTCATTGAGGAAATTAAAAAATCAAGTAAACTCATCTTGTTAAACAGATACTTAGCCTACACTAAAAGTTAAAAATTATATATCTTTAATCTTAAATATTTATATCTTATGAATGAAGGTGCCAAAAGTTTTTAGAAAAAATGATTATTATTCATTTCATGTTTCTGTATCAAATCAGGATATGGCAATGCTATATCGAATGCATAATAATGAAACAGAAAGTCGAAATAAAATGTTTTTTGACAGTTAAGTTAAAAAATTATTTATAATGATTGAATGCTCAAACACATATAGTTCAAACTGAGGTTTTTAATGTAATGCAGTGTTTCTTGCAGCTGCTTTAGAGAGTGTTCTGCTTGCATATCATGTACATCATGAAATTAACAGCTGAGTTTCAAAAATAATTCTTCTTGACACAATGCTCTGAAGAGCTCTGTGTTTTTAAAGGTTCGAATCTTATCAATGCAGAAAAGAGCAAGGTTTATCATGATTTTCTGAATGAAATTCCACTCCTGTATGATTGCGTGGGAACGAAAGCTCACCATAGAATCATGTTTGCCTCTCTCACTCTTCTGAACTATCGTTTTCAGATTATTTTCAGGCGTTAATTGGGTATTGGAAATCTGAGCACTTAATACCATTGAAGACACAATGGATAAAACGCCACCGCAAGGATTTGTGGATCCATATAGGTAGATTTTCACTGGAACTAATTATAATTTAATGGAATACATAATTTGCATATCAATAATTCAACACTAGTGTCAGGATGTACATATATAAAAATCAATAAATCAAAAGTTCAAAATGTTTTAATAGATCATCTTTTCCCCTCATTTTTTGCGCACTAAATATGTATATATTTTATCAATTATTGGTGTACTTTGCAACGTTTGAATATAATGATTTTTTTTTTTTAAGATTAAAGTAGATGGCATTTAGAAAGATTTCATGTACTATACTCTCATATTACTTTTTGTTCTAGGAAAAAAAAGGTAATTAATATCCAGAAATCATCTCTTCCACTATCGGAGGCAGAAAAATCCATCTATTGTATGTGGCTTTAGGGAATTTTGGCTCGGTTTGAGAGACAAATATTAGCACAATTGTGGATATATTAAAAATCATTTTCATGAGTATCTTACTTCTGATACTGTACATCATTCATTTGTACCTCCATGGTGGAAAAAATGAGTAAATATTCTATCATATTACGATATTTTAATATCATTTAAATGTGATCATACATAAATAATTATATACTCCCCCCCCCCCCCCCATGATTGGTGAATCAACATATTACAATTATCATAAGTCTATTCCCGACTTGAGGGAACTTACAAGCATATTTTGTCCTTCTTGGAACCTCAAATCAAACATATTTTAGATGTAAGGGGAAAAAAATCACAAAAGTTCAATTAAAAAAAAGTTGTTTTTTTTTAAAATCAAGTTAAGACTTACAGGAATGGAGACACTCCACAATGGTTGTCGCGTCTATAAGGTAGCCACCACACAACACACAGATGAGGTGGGGATTAAGGGAGGGGTTTATTTTGAGGCGAGTCTTTCTGTGCATGATTCCTTATTCACTCGTACATTTCCCTGTAACAACACAATAAACATGCCATCTTTATAATATATTCAAAAGCAGAAGGTCGTAGATCTGTAAAATGCTTGCCCTGAAATGAGATCTTAAATGGTGATGCAGTCATGCGTATTGGCCGCTTGTTCCTTATTGAAGCCTTTTGAGACTGTCAAATATAACCAAGATTCAATTCATGACCTCGGTAATGAGTTAATACAATAAGACAAATAAACAAAACTCCATAGGGCTGTACTTCATTTAAAGTATTTAAAGTCATCTAAAGCAAAAGAAAAAAAATAAAGTCGTTTAAAAAGAAACAACATGCATAATTATCATAAAAGTATTGAAAACCAAAATTATGCAATACGATGAAGTCTCGTCAAAGGACGCTTTCTGATTTCAGATTCTCTGATTATTAGAGATTATGAGAACATAGAGTTGTATCATTTTTCTATTGTTGCATTACTTTCCAAATGACCTGTTTTTCAATCTTAATGAAAGAATAAGTTTCGGAAAATATTATGCAATCAATTTATCTTATCATTCTTCATAGATCTTTGCATTGTTGATAAACATGTCTTTAGATCAAATATGCGAAACATAAGTTATCATTTGTTCAGGGAATGGTGAAATATTATGCTTATGTACAAGTATAATTTTGTTTTAATGTATTACACTCAGCGTGAGTCAACAGCGTTTAATTAAGTCACACCCATTTCGAGATAAGCTAAAATCAACTTAACTCCTTTCTATTTATGAAGTTTTTTTTTGGTTAAAACCTTCACACAAAATTGATATTTTAGGAGACTGTAGATATTGGGAATTGTCATGGTTTACATAAGCTCTTAACTTGATGCTTTTTACGATATGACTCTATCTTTTTAAAAAGATTATTGCTCAAACCAAAATTTCGTATGAAATTATTTCTTGAAAAATAAAATGGCTGTTAGAAAAGTTACGTGAGAGGAATTTAAATAATTCTTGTCAGACATTTGACCGTTTATCAGATTTACTCAAATCCTGCAAATAATCACTTTATACTTCCTTTTTCCATCACAAAATAGGATAACTATTCTTAAACACGTTTAGCTGATATTCTACAAAAAGCAGGTTTCGTTACAATGTGCTCCGAGCTGCTAATGTTTTAAGATATAAATCTCCGGCTTATCAATCAAAGAAACCGTAAAAAATCCAGATTACGTAACATCAAAAACATTGTTTGCGCATGTGCTATTACAACTAGCATATCACTCGGTGTAAAGTAATTTAAAACGTGATTGTGGCTGTGAGCCGACATATTTCTGGAACCAAGTACAATGAAAGCATGTAAAACCACAAATCGATCATTCTAAAGGCTACAAGGCCTAGAGAAACAGGCATACCTAATTACATGAATTCCTTGCAGATTTAGGTTTTTTCCTGTCAATGACCTTGAAAAATGTGTATGCCGAATGGAGAACACAATAAATCTATGTGTGCTTAAATTTGGCATAGCTTAATAGCATGACATGCTTGGGATTCAAAGCTGAACTTAACCTTCACTTAAATGTTTCGAAGTTACTACTAGTCTATGATATTTAAAAAGCTTAGATATGATTTGATTTATTTTAAGAAGTTTAAAATTAAGTGCATTCATATTTAAAGAACATTTTACACAAAGATCGGGGATAGTTCCCTGTAACTTTAAATAAGTACAAACGTCTCTTAAGAGCCTATATAAGAATCGGAAGACGAAATATTTTCCTTGATATATAAAAAAAATAATCTAATTGAAGTAAGATCCTTTTAATAGACTTAAAATCAAAAAATATTTTTTATTGTTAGAAATCATGTCGATTTATCATTTTTCAATTTTTTCCTAAAGGGTTAGGGCAATTTCTTGGTTTTGGCAAAAAAGAAAAGAAATAATAAATTTTTTTATATGTAGATACATCGACAGCTACATTGTCCAATTTTATCATTAAGAGAATTTCATCATTGATAGAATTTGCAGTTCGCCAAACATCTTATTTTGTGGCGATGGCTCTATATAAAAAATTAATGTTTATCGAAAAGTATGTATCATAGACCAGAACTCATTGTGGGATTGGGTAAAAACTTAATTTCTTAGCCCTAGAAATAAAATAAAAGCAATTTACTAATTGAGTCTTATATATATATATATATATATATATATATATATATATATATATATATATATATATATATATATATATATATATATATAATTTAAAAATCATCTTATTTCATTTTAAATTCGATTGCATCGATCAGTGTAAGTCTTTAAGTTTCTTCTCACTTTACTTAATTCGTATATATTTATCTCCAATATGTCTAAATGGATATGTTCCATAAAATTGGGACTTACTGTTCGTTACATACTAATATTTCATAAATTGACTCTTTCACGTACTTGATACCTTTACTTTATAAACCTTATAAACCCTCTTTAATGCCAAAAAACCTAGGAATAGGAATATGAACTGTGAATTTTTTTTAAAGGTCATCAAATCAAATTGTTTTAGTTTATTGTGCATTACACGATAGAAATTTTTATTATTTTACCGATTTCAAATGAAGTGGAACTGCGCCATCAATTACAAAACTACTTTGACAATTACTGGGAATTAAGTATTATAAATGCAGTTCTCAAATATAAAGCTTCCATACACAGAGAGTTTTCATTACAAAATGCCATAAGCCATTATAAAGTTTAGTCAATATAAAACATTTGCAATAGAAAAAAATAATGACAATCAGCTAATTCAGATTTCTGCATAATCTTACAATATTTTCGTTAAAATAAGCTATGTTTTAATAAATATTAAAACAAAACTAAAAAAAATCATAAATTTTGTTTGAGCTGCTAGGAGTTGAAATAAATCTATAGTCCTCATAAAATATCAAGGAGTACTGTACAAAAAAATCTGTATAATAATAGCATGCAAATGATGAAATATAATTGCAAAAAAATTTGCAAAAAAATGTTTCCATTAAACGTTATCGGTTCTCTTACAAACAACGTACAGAATAATCTACGTCCTTATGTAAATACTTTTATGCTTATACACTTATGTTTACAATTTTTTGTCAGTGTCATTAACAGTGCACTGATCCTCATTTTATGAAAAATAAAATATAATGATCGAATAGAGCTTCATAAAACAAATGACGAAACAAACATCGTTACATAGTCAGTAATAAGTAATGGATTGGATGGCTTTGGATGTGCGATACAGTTTGTGCAGTTACCTATAAAACAAAAACTTACTCCCGATGTTTCATCGTGGGATAAGATTTAAAAATATAGAAATTTTAATCATAATAAGTTTATTAATATATATTGTAATGATTTTTTTTCCTTTTTTTAAAAGGAAACCAAGATGTCAACATAACTGTTTGTAGTAAATTAAGATGAAGCATATAATGGCATAAAGATAATGAAGATCCGTGTAATAAAAAAAGTAATATATATATTTTTATTTTCAATCTTTATATCATAATATTGAATGGAGTCGATTTGGCTACTTCGTTGTATTCCGAAAAAAAGAAGAAATCCGTACTGGAGTCCATGCCCATTAGCAAACATTTTGTACAATACATTTATTTAAAATTACTTAAGAAGAATAAAATACTAATAAACTTGTATGGAAAGCTTAATTTATCTATAAAACATAGTTATCTATCTTCGGTGTCTTCTTTTAACATAACCATATCCATATTTCTTCAAAAATTGTTCTCTTCTCATAAAGCAAAAGGTCTCAATAACGGTTAAAAAGAAGGTAAAACTGGATTCTCCAATGAATATATAATAATCTAGTTATCTTATATATCATAAACAAAATCTATTTTTTGATTTCCATCCATTGATTATTGATTCTAATTATATGTGTATGGTATACCACAGTTTTGCCATTCTAATCGCTTGTGAAAAAAAAATCGAAAATTAAAATTGGGCGAAAATAAGGTTGTACTACACAACAAAAAATACACTTAAATGATTGAAATGTTTGAAATGTACATGTAGCACTAGTCTTATACACTGTACGAAATAATTAGAGTGAGATAAGTAATTATAGACAGTTGCATTTTCTCTTCATTTTTTATTGGAGAATTGCAGAGAAAAAGAATTAACGTTTCCAATCATTTCAAATTTGAAATAACTGCAAAAAGCATGATTTACTAGTTAAAATATAATTTTAATTCTTAGACAAAGGAAATATTGTCTTCAGAAAATGGGTTTTAATTTATCAAAAAGATCAAAAGATGATAACACTAAAGTAAAATTAACAAAAAATAATCCTACTAAGACACCATTTTCGTAGAGATTTTACCCCCGTTGTCTTTGAAATCCTTTTTAAATTTGAGAAATTACATAATTTTCAAAAACTAAGAAGTACAACCAAAGGATGCGTTCCATCATTATCTATATCATACGCGTATTATAGCAGACTTTTAGAATATTGATTATAACATTGATTATATTTAAAATAGATATGTAATAATTACAGGGAAAAGCTAATCCAAAAATATATCAATTATGCTTTAAATGCAAGGCTTGGGATATAAATAAGAATGTCATAATATGTCAAAAAAAAAAAAAAAAAAAAAAAAAAAAAAAGAAATAAAGCACAAAGGAAATCAAGAGTACATAGGATATGACATTCGCTTAACTAGTGTTGCTTGATTTTACTTTTTTTTTTAATTTTACGACATTCACTTACTGATGTTTCTTGATTTTAATTTTATGTTTTTTTTTAATTTGTTTGACAGTTTTATAAATGAAATATTACTTTGGTGAAAAAATGTATAACAATGTAATCATTTATTAACAAGATTAGATTGAAATAAATGTTACGTAACACTCAACCGCCTATAGGATGTATAAATTTATCGATTTCATGCAATGTTATTACATGTCTCAAAAGGGGAATCGCTGTGAAAGATAAGGACTTATCATGACTTAATTTCAATAAAAGCGCCTTGCGTACCACATACGAGTTACCTCAAAGACAAT